CATCACTTTTTTCCATCCAACTTTCACTTTCCTATTAATCCTATTTTTTCCAGTTTCTCTTTTTCATCTTCTACCTTACTTTCTAAGTCTCACACTTTCTATCATTCCTCTCTTCATCCTCCAGAAACACATTTTCCATACCTCTGCAGAATCCTATCTGGGACCAGTGTGTTTGAACTTAAAAGACAGACACCTGTTTGTGGCCTTGAAGCACCTCAAAGATTTAATTTATTGCAAACATCCTGGCTGGTGGGGAGCAACATGAGAACAATGGCTTATAAGATGGATTAGAATAAAAGCATAGCTCCAGATGGCTCTTCTCTGGGTGGCCTGTTCCCTCCCAGTAGGCTTGTGCCGACTCTGCAAAAGGGGTGTTGTTATCGCCTGTGTCGCTGCTACTGCACCTGGGGCTAAAGAGGTCTATTTTTATCTGCATCACATTGCTAAGGAAATGTGAGCCAGCAGAAGGAAGATAGGAGTGAAAGCATTCTTTCTTTAGAAATGTTCTGTACACTACTGTATGTGCTGGATGCTACATAGGCAGGAAGCATCATGAGGTGAATCGAATAAACAGTTACTTCTGCAAGGAAAGTGGCTGCTGTCACCTATCTGCAGTGAAATTGAACCGGAGCATTTATTTATTTAATTTATTGCCTTTTTACACTTTTCCTTGATTTTTGACAGTGTGTTTTGTAGTTGGGCCAATAAATAAATATATTGGCTGATATGTGAAACTCATCACCTTTAGTTTCCTTTTTTAATGATGTCCCAAATGGTCTCAAACTCAGATTATATAACAAGTAAAAGAGGTCAGTCTTCGGTTGGTATCATTTCTTGGTATTGTACCAACTCACTTGACTTCCAATGCTCTCAACAAGGGCTGAAACAATTGATCGTGATAAATATGTTATTGAAATAATCGTCAACCAATTTAGTAATTGATTAATCGTTAACTGGAGTTTTGAGACTGTGAAATATGCATTTAGCTCTCAGAGGAACCCACCCTTGAGCAGTACGGTAATTAAACCAAAATTGTAAAAGAAAGACATTAAAACATTTTGCATTTAAGATAAAAAAAATATATTTTTTTTCTTCTGTGAATATACTCTATCTAATTTCGTAAAAGTCTTCTTTAAGGAACTTTTGGCTATCCGATTATTGATCGATTCATTAAAAAAATAATCGACAGATTAATTGATTTGCAAAGCAATCGTTAGTTGCAGCCCTACTCTTAACAAAGCATTTAAAGCCAGTGAGCAGTATGATTAAAATATATAAAGGCACTTTACTACACATAATTACATTTACTGTTGCGGTTTTCCCACACTACAGCGACCCAGCAGCCAAAAAAACGGTGCACAGTCAGCCATAGTCCATTGCTGCTTTTAGCTTAAATTTCCTTTTTATTTTCTCTAGCTGTTGTTCAAATAATATAAATTATAAAGTGTGTGATGCTTTTATGTTATTAATATCTACATAATATCTCTGTAATATCTAAATACTTAATCATTCGTAGGTCTTCCTGTTACATGTGCTACATCACCACTGATGCCTGCCTTTGTTCGGTAATTAAGGGCAAAATAATTTATGAAACAGCTTTTCAGTCAACAATACTATTTATAAATTATTTTTATAATAAGAATCTGGATTGGGTAAATTCATTTCAAGTTTTGAGTAACTATTTAGGGTATTTTTACACTCAAAGATTTTATCCTTATACGGTAAATGAAGGGCAGATTGGTCCAGTCCTACATTAAACATCTATATATATATGCAGATTTTAACTGGTAATTAATGTTATCCTCTCTCCACAGATTTTACACTAAAATGTGTATTTTTTTATGACTCACTTTGTATCCCTTGAGATTTTACTGTCGGGTTCTCTCCTATTAGATGGTAATTTGCTAATTGAGGTCTTATTTTTAGAATGGTCATCTTGGGAAAAGGAGCTTCCTGATCTGTCATAACAGCTGAAACAGCAGTCACCCCCACCCCCCCTCTCCACTTCCACTCCTTCGCTCATTACCATCCATGTTGACCTTTCCTCTAAGCTTCTTTTCCAGCCATACTGTGGAGCAATCGATTTGTTGATTCTTTAACAGCGATTATTCAGCAGGTTTGCCACGCTCTACACCATAGGTGTACATGTGACAGTCATAATGGGTCGGAAACTGGGTAATACTAAGAGTCATTGAAAGTTTAAGGGTGTATTTACATTAGAGCCTACATGAAGCTTATTTATTGTTTTCATAGATGATATAAAACGTATGAGAGATGTTACTTGTATTTAAAAAATAATGGGATTTTTGAAAAACAAACATTTCAAAACAGAGTTGAGGATCTAAAAGCTTTAAATTGTATTTGACAGGGATGTCAAGACTGTTTTTGACAAGTGGAAATGCATATCTCCCTATTTTATCACATATTCAAGTGAAAAGAAAGAATATTTTTAGGATGTTTGGCCCGTTTCTGAGTGTGTTGATGTATTTGGAGTGATTTTAAAGCCTATTTAAAAGAAAATAGAAAAAAATGGAAGAGGTGAGCAATAAAATGAAAATTCAGAATTGAATAAGAGTGAAAACTGCTAAAAAGAACAGTCCTTTGAAGAAGGCTGGGAACTAACAAAATGGAGATTATAACCTCATCAAAGTAGAAATGACATGTGGATGCTCGCACACAAAATAAACGGTAATGCGTTTTAAACGAATGGCTCTGCAGTCGTTGACAGGCGTGTGTGTTACATGCAGTTGGTAGCAAATGAGCTGCTCCACATTTTATGAATTGTCAGCTTCTATAGGCCTCATCCAGAGAGGTCAGCTTATAAACCCTCGCAGAGCCAATATTTTTCTGCACGTTGTAAGATTGCTTGCTGACTCCAACACAGCACGGCTCTCCTGCCACTTTGTCGACTCTTTTTTTCCCCCACATTGCTGCAGAAGAATAAAGCCAACTTTTTATTGCTGTATTTGCTGCAGCGATTTGCTGTGTGCAAAGGTTCCTTCACATATGGCAGCAGCTCATCTCTTGATATTGAACTAATTGTACTTTTTTCAGTTTTTTACTTGATAGTTATTTTATTGTTGGTAATAGTTAACAGTTGTAATATATATATTTTTTCCAGACAGAATAAAATGAGAACTTATTTTGCCTCATCAAATATCATGCCTTACTAATACTTTATAGCATGATTTTAATAAGCTATAGCGCCGATAAATGTATTTTTTTGGTTAAAGTATCAAGTAAAAATCTTAATTCATACACTTTAACCATATATTTTTCTAAAGTCATGTTTGTTGTCTTTCATTGAATAACAATTTTCTTTTCAGTCATATCGAATCCTGAGCTTTATCTCTGATCGTAATGTTTTTTTTTTTTTTTATCTTTTTAAAGAAGTATTTTTTAAATGGTTTTAAATAATCTGTAAAAATATCAAGTTTCAAACTCTTGCAGTAGCGGGACAAAATAAAATGTTCTATAAAGATATCTTCATTTAAGTTGAGGGCTTATGTACATTTCTGGCCTGACCTTTTAAATCTTTAAATTAGAGGCACAAAATTACACATGCATCCATTCCGTCAATCTGCCATCACTACAAATGGAAGCAACTTATAGCTAAAAGAAAAATTAAACACGGTGGATTTTTATTTATTTAAATATTGTATTTTTACATATAGATTTTAAAGACTGAAAAATAGAAAAACAAACTACATTGATTCTTAAAAGATTTGAATTTAAGATTTTTTTTTTTCTACTTTAGACATGGTCCTAATCATGAATACAATTTTTTTATGTTGGTGTTTCCATAAAAGATTAACCCATTAATGCATCCATCCGTTCATTGATATAATGTATTCTTAATTATATCAATCCATCCACTAATGCATCCATTTGTCCGCCCAGTCCATCCACCAATGCTGTAATTTGTTTTTCTGTATGTTAGTAAGCGTATCTGCCACATGCATTCAATGCATTCTTCTGTATTTACATCCCAGCATCCGTCCATCTTCCATCAATGTGTCAATCTATGACTAAATCAGTGCATCGACCAAATTTATGAAGGCATCTATCAATGCATCTGTTTTTTCCATCTGTCATTCCGTTCATCTCATCTGTCAATGCATCCATCTGGCTATCAATCTATTGATCCAACAGTCAGTTTGTCCTGCATATTTACCTATTCATGCAATTATACAGTCTTAGGTCTATGTACGTTCCCCATTTAAAGCCTCACTGCTGTAGAAATGTCATCTATCAACTCATTTATATGAGCAGAATACAGAAATTTAAAGAATGTTTATAAACTCTGATGGTGATATAACTTGTTTATTTTGACATCTAAAACTGGGCAATGATGACCAAACTCATGTACTTTGATTTTATCTCCATAAACAACATTATTTCTATAATTAACTTGGCAAATCTAACCTGGGCTGTAAGGTTTTGATGTTTAGATTATTTTATTTTAAACAGCCATATTTATTAAGTCTTATCACAAACCTTGAATATTAAAAAAAAGACCCCTAGAGCCTGAGAGGAAGCTCTTAAATTTCTCTCTAAATTTGATCTTTCCAGATTCTAATTTGAGTGAACTTACTTGGATGTTGAATTCTTAGAGGATTAGTCACAGTTAGCATTTTACCTTTTAAATTTGTAAAAAAAAAAAAATAAAAAAAAATAAAAATGGCTGATCGACTGTAAACAATTAGAAATAAATAATTACAAGATTTATGATGAGCAAAAATAGCAGATCTTCACATGCCTAAATGCAGTCACTGTGTAATGGTATTACATAAAAAGTAACTAAAAAAAGCAATTGTCAGCTAACCTGATTCTTCTACTCTTTGTCCTGTTTAACTTTTCACCTCTCATCATTTATTCCAGTTTTAACTTTTTTTTTGTTTTTTTTTGCTGCTATTTATTGCAAATAAAGGTAATCATCTGGTGAACCATATGGCATCCCTCTGTTTGACCAAGTCCCCCTCCTGTCCTCCTGTTCCCAGGCTGTCCCTTCCGGAGGAATGGCGTGGTGTGCGAGATCAAGCACTGTCGGAGCTCAGTGGGATTAAGGACTGCATCTTTGTCCATGCTGGAGGATTCATTGGCGGCAACAAGACCCAGGAAGGAGCCCTAGAGATGGCCCGGAGGACCCTGCAGGCTGCTGCCCAGTCTCCAGCAAACGGAAGCAGCTGAACATTCAGGAAAACTTTTTACCAAATGGTTTAGTTTATGATGGTTTGTTAAATCCTGTTCTGTGTACCTTTTTAGTTTTCGTATAAGGTTGTGTACCACTTTGACTTCTATTTTGGTATTTGTATTCATGCTGGATTAAAAACATCAATAAACAACCTGTTCTCACTCTGGTCTAATCTTTTGGTGTCACCTCTGCTAATGTCATATGCTGCCATCTGATAGATCAGTTCCTGCATCTAAAAGGCAGAATAGCATGGCCTTTCCTTCAAGTGATGATTTATAAACACACCTGGACGGTGTTTTTTCTTTCATTTCCAGCATTAATGACATTAAACGCAGCACAACAAAGAGATCCCGGCGCCTCTTCCTCCAGCTCTAAGATCAAAGCATCAATAATCATGCCTGATTAATTCGGAGAAATTTAATTTCCAATCATGTGGTGCCCCTTGTTGCACCCAGTGCATTGATAAGGTTATTGAGGCGTTCAATTTCCAGCTAATACAATCGTTGCCCTACATTTTTCTAATTAATACTCTTTATTTTCTGCATTCTGAAGCTTTTCTCAACTCCTCTCGCATGCTTTCACAAAGCTGACCTTAGAACTGGTTCCCAATGACATTTTCTTTTACTGTCATTGTAAGTGAATCTGTGTACTGCAAGCAAAAAAACATGACATGTTGCTTGCAGCTGCTTTGCTTTCTTTTTCATGTTCAGTGGGACAGACCTATGATAACAGCTTTCTGTGATACTAAAACCATCCACCAATCTTCTGCGTATCTGGGGTTGATGAAAACCTAAGTCAGAAATTATTCAGATTATATTTGAAGAAATAGATGGTTATGAATGAGTTTTCAAAAAATGTACAGTTCCTCTGAAATGTTAACATTACTGATGGGCATANGGCGAGTTTAAAGTCGACACGTCAAGATTAAACTCAACATGACATTTCAACTTTATTCTCGAAATGTTGAGTTTAATGTCGGCATGTCGACTTTTAAAGTTGACATGTCGAGTTTAATCTCGTCATGGCAAAAATATTTTTTCTCTTCATGTGTGGCCCTAATACTCCGTCGTAATAGTATGACTTTAATAAGCTATAGTGCAGATAAATTTTTTGGTTTGAGTATCAAGTAAAAATCTTAATTCATACACTTTAACCATATATTTTTCTAAAGTCATGTTTGCTGTCTTTTATTGAATAACAATTATTATTTCAATCATATCAAATCCTGAGCTTTTCCTCTGATCGTAATGTTTTTTACCTTTTTAAAGAACATTTTTTTAATGGTTTTAAATCTGTAAAAATATCAAGTTTCAAACTCTTGCAGTAGTGGGACAAAATAAAATGTTCTATAAAAATATCTGCATATAAGTTACTTTCTATTCTCCAATCATAGAAGAAATAAGTTGGCCAAATGTTATTAATATGACTCTCAAAGTTGAGGGCTTATGTACATTTCTGGCCTGCACAAAATTACACATGCATTTTTTTAAATTAAATTTAATTTAAATTTTTTTTTTTTTTTGCGGTGCGATATGTGGGTATGATCTACAAAGAATGCTCACACAAATATTAAGCAAAACAGGTTTGGTTCCATCCTTTTAAGATAGTAACCGTACAATTTAAAATCCTAACCTGTTTAGTTATCATAACCAAAAAACATTTTATTTTTATTTGACCTTATTCTCTCCATAAATTTTATTTATTTATTTTTTTTAGACTACAATATAACCTGCAACCATTCCGTCAATCTGCCATCACTACAAATGGAAGTAACTTCTAGCTAAAAGAAAAATTAAACACGGTGGATTTTTATTTATTTAAATATTGTATTTTTACATATAGATTTTAAAGACTGAAAAATAGAAAAACAAACTACATTGATTCTTAAAAGATTTGAATTTAAGATTTTTTTTTTCTACTTTAGACATGGTCCTAATCATGAATACAATTTTTTTATGTTGGTGTTTCCATAAAAGATTAACCCATTAATGCATCCATCCGTTCATTGATATAATGTATTCTTAATGATATCAATCCATCCACTAATGCATCCATTTGTCCGCCCAGTCCATCCACCAATGCTGTAATTTGTTTTTCTGTATGTTAGTAAGCGTATCTGCCACATGCATTCAATGCATTCTTCTGTATTTACATCCCAGCATCCGTCCATCTTCCATCAATGTGTCAATCTATGAAAAAATCAGTGCATCGACCAAATTTATGAAGGCATCTATCAATGCATCTGTTTTTTCCATCTGTCATTCCGTTCATCTCATCTGTCAATGCATCCATCTGGCTATCAATCTATTGATCCAACAGTCAGTTTGTCCTGCATATTTACCTATTCATGCAATTATACAGTCTTAGGTCTATGTACGTTCCCCATTTAAAGCCTCACTGCTGTAGAAATGTCATCTATCAACTCATTTATATGAGCAGAATACAGAAATTTAAAGAATGTTTATAAACTCTGATGGTGATATAACTTGTTTATTTTGACATCTAAAACTGGGCAATGATGACCAAACTCATGTACTTTGATTTTATCTCCATAAACAACATTATTTCTATAATTAACTTGGCAAATCTAACCTGGGCTGTAAGGTTTTGATGTTTAGATTATTTTATTTTAAACAGCCATATTTATTAAGTCTTATCACAAACCTTGAATATTAAAAAAAAGACCCCTAGAGCCTGAGAGGAAGCTCTTAAATTTCTCTCTAAATTTGATCTTTCCAGATTCTAATTTGAGTGAACTTACTTGGATGTTGAATTCTTAGAGGATTAGTCACAGTTAGCATTTTACCTTTTAAATTTGTAAAAAAAAAAAAATAAAAAAAAATAAAAATGGCTGATCGACTGTAAACAATTAGAAATAAATAATTACAAGATTTATGATGAGCAAAAATAGCAGATCTTCACATGCCTAAATGCAGTCACTGTGTAATGGTATTACATAAAAAGTAACTAAAAAAAGCAATTGTCAGCTAACCTGATTCTTCTACTCTTTGTCCTGTTTAACTTTTCACCTCTCATCATTTATTCCAGTTTTAACTTTTTTTTTGTTTTTTTTTGCTGCTATTTATTGCAAATAAAGGTAATCATCTGGTGAACCATATGGCATCCCTCTGTTTGACCAAGTCCCCCTCCTGTCCTCCTGTTCCCAGGCTGTCCCTTCCGGAGGAATGGCGTGGTGTGCGAGATCAAGCACTGTCGGAGCTCAGTGGGATTAAGGACTGCATCTTTGTCCATGCTGGAGGATTCATTGGCGGCAACAAGACCCAGGAAGGAGCCCTAGAGATGGCCCGGAGGACCCTGCAGGCTGCTGCCCAGTCTCCAGCAAACGGAAGCAGCTGAACATTCAGGAAAACTTTTTACCAAATGGTTTAGTTTATGATGGTTTGTTAAATCCTGTTCTGTGTACCTTTTTAGTTTTCGTATAAGGTTGTGTACCACTTTGCCTTCTATTTTGGTATTTGTATTCATGCTGGATTAAAAACATCAATAAACAACCTGTTCTCACTCTGGTCTAATCTTTTGGTGTCACCTCTGCTAATGTCATATGCTGCCATCTGATAGATCAGTTCCTGCATCTAAAAGGCAGAATAGCATGGCCTTTCCTTCAAGTGATGATTTATAAACACACCTGGACAGTGTTTTTTCTTTCATTTCCAGCATTAATGACATTAAACGCAGCACAACAAAGAGATCCCGGCGCCTCTTCCTCCAGCTCTAAGATCAAAGCATCAATAATCATGCCTGATTAATTCGGAGAAATTTAATTTCCAATCATGTGGTGCCCCTTGTTGCACCCAGTGCATTGATAAGGTTATTGAGGCGTTCAATTTCCAGCTAATACAATCGTTGCCCTACATTTTTCTAATTAATACTCTTTATTTTCTGCATTCTGAAGCTTTTCTCAACTCCTCTCGCATGCTTTCACAAAGCTGACCTTAGAACTGGTTCCCAATGACATTTTCTTTTACTGTCATTGTAAGTGAATCTGTGTACTGCAAGCAAAAAAACATGACATGTTGCTTGCAGCTGCTTTGCTTTCTTTTTCATGTTCAGTGGGACAGACCTATGATAACAGCTTTCTGTGATACTAAAACCATCCACCAATCTTCTGCGTATCTGGGGTTGATGAAAACCTAAGTCAGAAATTATTCAGATTATATTTGAAGAAGAAATAGATGGTTATGAATGAGTTTTCAAAAAATGTACAGTTCCTCTGAAATGTTAACATTACTGATGGGCATAAATATTTTTTAATTGAGATTAATCTCACTGTAATCTTACAATTAATTTAGATTATTATCGCTCATTTGAATTCTGCCGGAGGCATTCATGATATGTGTGTGCTACCTGCAGAAATTAAAAGAAAATATGTACTGTATGTTTGCAAAATCACAATTAATGTTGTTTTCTTACTTAAGATTTTGACAAAGGTAATACTTTTTAATACTCATTTGTTATTGTGTTTTTGCTGCAAAAATAGTGTCCCACTTCCAATTATTTATGTCCACCTTTAACAATGTAGTGTCTCCAGAAATCTGACACACACGTCACCTCAACCAACTTCTCATCTTTTGCAGCTTTTTCTGCAGCGTGCTGGTCATGTATTCTCCTCATGGTAGTTCGCCTTGCAGCTGGTTTGTAAGAAGGGTTACCTGTGGCCGCATGTAGAACGAGCACTGCAACGCCATTAATGGGCCACCACTTGTTAACATACAACAATCCTAGGTGTGGATGATGTATGTATGATAGTCAGGGCTTATATACCTTATTGAGTTGTCACATTTTTATACAATAAACATAGAAAAGCAAAAATTGGGCCCTTTACATTTTGAAATTTTCCTTAAATTAAGGCAGGGTAGAAGTTGTACACAATGTCTAAAGCCTATAGAAAAATCAAAGTGATCAGATATTTTGTTTTATATATCATATTTTGTTATGCTTCATTAGCATAACTTTCTGGCAGGAGTATTTTTTCCCTTTATGTCAAAAAGAATTGTTGCAAAAAGGTGACTTTCATTGGATTGAATGAGGTCAGGGACCTCTGGAAGTGGTCAGTCAAATTTCTCTATCTGAAACCACTTCTGTATTTTGTATACCT